CTGTCCTCGGGGCCTGGCGACCTCGGGGCAGCGTGGGGGCCGGAGAGCAGACTCGGTGTCCCAAGGCCTCCCTGGCCTCAGCTTCCTCATCTACCAAACAGGGCTGATGACCTCACGAAGTGGTTTGAGAAAATGGAAGCAAGCGTTTCACTAAGAGCCGTTACCATGGACAGCGCTGGCCTCAGTCGCACCCCGGCTACAGAGAAACGATTTGCCTGGGTCCAGTTCTGATTGAGGGCGTGTAAGGACTAATTTTCACTAGTTTGGGTACCTGTTGGCAAGATTCAAGTTTCTAAACCCAAGATGTATGAGCATCCCCTTCCTTAGTAACCTGCAGTTCTGCCTGGGCCTGTTCTATGCAATTACATGTAGGTACCTTCACCTGGGCTCCGAGGCCCCCGGCTCTCAAGCTCACCTGCTTCCCAGCGTCCCTTCCTTCCCTTACAGCTGAGCCCCCATCTCTCTTCTCATAGGCCCCCTCCCCACCTCAATCCTGCCCCTATCCTTCCGTGTCCCACCCTAAATATGAGAATGACACAGGAAACCCATCTCCTGCAAACGCTTTCCAAATTTCCTCACTTACTAGTATGCTTGCTATACTAGTAAAGTTCCCCCTTTTTCCCCCATTTCTTTTCTGCCCCTTAGGCTGCTCAGCCACTAAGGATCATTGCTTTAGTCCCTCTACTCCTGGCCTACTTCCGTGTGAAAGCTTGAGGACCGAGGCTGCGTTCTTGTCCTAACACAATTCCCAGCCCAGGGCACCCTGCTTACTAATGGCCGGGGCCCAGGCCACTGTATTAGGTAACAGGGGCTTTCAGACTGTTCCAGAAAACCCTAAAGATATTTTGAGGGTTCATAACCGATTGATTCAAATCTTTAGTAAGATCCACTATGGAAGCTGTCTACATGCTGGCTTCAGGGAAAGAAAACTGCACATAACCATGCCCAGAGGAAGGCTGCAGTCCTGCATCCCAGCTGAGTTCATGCACACTGCACTCAAATGAACAGGCACGTGTGGCTGAGCTGCCTCTGCTCATGCTCATTACTCCTATGAAAAGCTTTCATGTGTCCCATCGTGATGTCAATAGGTTTCCTGTGTCATTCTCTCATTTCCATCATAAGCTTCTGGACCCCGTTTTAAGTATCTCAAATTGCAACAAACCTGTCACCACTTGTGTATATAAGTTTAGCTGAATTTCCTCCAAATCAACCAAAATACATAAGTAAATAGAATGCTGAAGTTGATTTAAACCCAAACTTAGTGTTTGTTTTTTTTAATCCTCACCCAAGGATATGTGCCCTGACCAGGAATTGAACCTGCAATCTTTTTCGTGTATGGGACTATGCTCCAATTGACTGAGCCACCCTGCCAGGGCTACAAATTTTGTATTAATCAAAACAACTTCATTTTTTTTAAAAAGTCCTCATAGATGCTACATATAACATGGATGAACCTTGACAACTTTTTTCTTTAAAACATATTTATTGATTTCAGAGAGGAAGGGAGATAGAAACATCAATGATAAGAGAGAATTATTGATTGGCTGCCTCCTGCACATCCCCTACTGGGGATAGAGCCCACAACCCAGGCATGTGCCCTTGACCGGAATCGAACTTGGGACTCTTCTGTCCGTAGGCTGAGGCTCTATCCACTGAGCCAAACTGGCTAGGGCAATTCATTGTTCTTTATAACAAGGAACTGTTATAACCTGACTTTAATAAGAAATTAAAGTACCCAATTTTCTATGTGCTTTACAGAGTAGAGTTCATCAGGAATTTTAATTTGGAAAAAAAAAATTTAATTTGGGAGAAAAAGCTGTATTTCAAAACATTAAGAAACAGTCCTGCCCTGGGTGGTGTGGTTCAGTTGGAGTGTCCTCCTGTGCACCGAAGGATTGTAGGTTCAATTCCCAGTCAGGGAACATACCTAAGTTGTGGGTTCAATCTCCGGTCACGGTGCATACGGGAGACAACTAACCAATGTTTCTCTCTCATGTCGATGTTTCTTTCTCTTGTCCTTCCTTTCTAAAATCAATAAAGTAAAAAAAATTAAAAGACCTCACAGTCCTAAGAAAGTTTTAGAATGAAGTGGCCTTCATAACCAGGAAAGGGATTCAGGAGATAAACCATTCAGTAGAAGGCTCTGTGTAAAAATGTTTATTTGTACTAATGTTTAGAATACGGGAACTAAAGAAAGAAAAAAGACACAACTCCAAAGCAACAGTGAATGAGGGCCTGCCCATGGCCAAGGGGAAGGCCACACCAGGGTGTCCTAGCGTGGAGTATCCCTCCCACTACTTAAGTGTTACCAAGCAGAAAACTGTTATCAGGGTGTGAAGACCTTACCAGCCGCTAGTGAGCGTGCAAGGGAAGAAAGGGATGTCTATGTGGCTTCCCTGTGACCCAGGACCCAGGATCCACGGAACAGGAGGCAGAGACTCTCAATTCAGTTAAGGGCAGGAGCTGAATACCCAGGTCCAGGAAGAACAAAAAGGGGATTACGGAGGTAGGCTTTTTTATCGAGTTAAAAAACAGGCACATTGTCCAACATCTCCCTGTGACCCCCAAGCGGCTGGCCTGGACCCCTGATGCTTCCTCTCCCCACAAAACCAAAGGGAATAAGGAAGGGAAGCAGAAGATAGGAAATTCCAAGAGTGGGGAATGCTGCAGTCACTAGAGACCATCTGTTGAGAGTAAGCCAGGTAAGCACAAGAATTAGGGTGAAGCTGCTACTCCCCCCGGATGGGACAGGGCAGAACGCAGGGGTGACCAAGAACCTACTGGCTTGGGCAAAGGATCCTCAGCAGCAGGAACAGAAGGCTGCAGAGAGCCACTCCGAGGGAAGGGGGTGGTGAGGCTAAGCAGCAGGAAGGGCATGGAAAGCTCCTCCAAGTTCTTCCTCAATTTACTCAGTTGCTCACTACCAGCTACTCCTGGTAAAGAGGTCCCAGCCTGACTCACCCCTGGGGGAAGGGAAAACCCTGGAGACCAGTGTGGAGGCAAAGCTGAGAGAGAAGTGAGCTGTTTCCTCCCACTCTTTCTCAGTGGACACTGTGTGAACCTGTGATCATCAGGGCCACGGCCCAAGGCAGGCAAAGTGAATGCACTTCATGGAGAGCCATGAGAAGCTGGGCCCACAGGTACACCTTGGGGCATATGTTGCTCCGTTCTCCCTGAGGCCTGGGGCCAGAAGCAGTCAGAGCTGTCACTTTAGCTTGCTGCTGCCAAAGGCAAGTTGGCACCACCACTCCCCAGGTTCTCTGGACTTTTGAGAGGAGGAGGAAGGGAAAATGGGTTATGAAAAATGAGAGAGGAGGAAACAGCCCTAGATGTTTGGGGGAAAGGGGAACTGGCCACATCAAGAGGAGTTCTGGTTCTGGTAGATGGACGCTTTCTCCTTCAGCAGGTCCAGACACAAGTGGCAGCTCCAACTTCCTACAGTACAGAGAAGCATAATGGGGTTAGGATGGCTCCCACACAATCTTACCCTGCTGTCCTTCCCATCCCCACACAACATCTCTGGTATCAGGATTGGCTATAGGCAGGATGGGAGACGTTCTGCATAGCAAAATTTCATAGTTATCCTGAATTGGGACACTCTCTCTCTCTCTGGAGCACACCCACGCTTTTCTTCCCTCTTGAGTGTGCATCTTTTCTCTCCTAAACTCTAAAGGTCCACACAAGACTTGCTCATGAATTCCTATAAAGGGGGGGTTTAGCACAGAAATTTGGCCAAAAGGGGCCTTGTGGAGAGGTAGTCATTTTTAACCAAGGGGGCAACAGGCAGCGGCAGCTCATCTGGGCTAACCCTCTCACTCTGTCCCCAAGGCCCCCTTTTCTCTGACTTTTCAGTGAGTTCCCGCAGCCCCACTGTGGGTCACTTCTTCTCCATAACATCTCTAGTGAGCCAATGCAGAGCACCTAGGCTCGCTCTATTGCCTCTTCTATCCTAAGCACTTCCTTTGTTTCACTGTTTCCAGTTTTAATAAACATACTCTCAAAATAAAAAAACAACAAAAATCATTCTTAGCTTGAAAGCTAATTAAACTAGGTGCAGCTAGATTTGGCTGTGGGGTAGTCTGCCAACCCCTGACCTAGAGCCTATGCCATCTGATGGCTTCTACGCTCCCCTACCCCTGCTGTCTGCAGCTCTCCACTACTTTAGTGTCTGACAGTACTTCCAAAGGAAAGCCTTCTACAGTTAATATAGAATTTTATCAGTAAATTGATACTTTATGGTTAAAAAAGTAAAACACAGAACTCATTACTTCTCCCCAAAGTAGATTTCTAAA